AAAAAAAAAAAAAAAAGAAGGGCAGTGGCGAGCTCAGGTGCTGCTGGTCTTGGTCCCGTCGGAGGACTTGCCTACTGACTTGTCCACGTGCATGGTGACCCCCAGTCATGCGGGGCAGAGACCACGTGGGAGTCCCTGGTCCAGTGGAGAGCGACTCAGAATTGGTCCATTGTATATTCATTCTGCAAACACTGGCCATGGGATAGGTGATCTGCTTGGGAATTGGTGGCTGTGGAAATTGGACATTGATCTCGGTGTTCATGGGCACATGGGAGACACAGACTCACAACTGGCCATCATCTGAGTGACCAGTGTGTGGCTGGGTGCCCTGGATGGCCAGAGAAAGCCGAATGTTTCCGTGAGAAGTGGAAAGGAAAGAATTGGGGAAGGGGGTTGGCCATGGAAACAGCAGTGACAAGAGTCTAAATATGGGGTCCCACCCTGGGGTCCTGGAATGGGGGGCAGACTGAAGCGAGTGCCACACTTCCCTCTGTCCGACAAGGTCACTTCCATCTCTAAGAACAGAACTGCTCATCATGATCTACAAAGCCCCCCACCCATGGTTACCATTTTCTTCCATTCTCCATATCTCAGCCCAGCTGTCAATTCCAAGTGCATCCCCCACTTTCCTTCCAGCAGAACTGGCCATGGCCAGTTCCTTCTATGTTCCCTACCCCTTGTCTCAGATTGGGGTCCTCATAACAGACCCTAAAAGGAGGATTCATGGGCAAGTAATTCATTAGGCAAGGCCTCCAGGGGAAACCAACTCTGACCACATCCCACTTCTGGAATGCAGTGGGAAGCAGATCCGGAAGGGAAGGGGGTCAGCAGAGCCCTACCACACAGAGGGAAGCTGGCCTGACTCCGCCAGGACCTCAGGAAGTGGGACAGGTCATGCCGCATCTGGAGTGTGTAACCCTCCAACAGATGTTGGTCAAGGTCTGCCCAGAGGATGTAAGTTTCTGGGTCCTTCCCCCCCCTTCTTAGAGCCTGCCAGTGAGGTGGCTTTGGCAGCTTGGGCACTGGAAATGCAAGGCCACCCAAGGCCAGTGTGTGTGAACGAGGTAAAGGACTCCAAGGACTCACGTGGACAATGAGAGTATCTGCTCTGCCCAGGCCTACTTGGTCAGCACCTGTAACCACATATTGCACACACTTGCAAATGTCTCCCCACCGGACGCCTGGCACATGGCACATGCTGAATACAAGTTGGCAAACGAACGAATGAGTGAATGAGTGGGAGGAGAGAAGATGGCTCTGCCCATTTTCCACGGAAGAAACTAGGCTCAGAAAGGTGAGGGACTTCTCCAGGATCCCACAGGAATGAACAGCTAGCACCCCAAGGATCCTCACCAGCCTTCTAACTATGCCCCCCAAACTTCTGCACTCCACTTAGATTGGGTGATCCTCTCCTCCCCCAGCGCTTTCTTAGAATACGCCAAACAACGCCTGACTCAGCTACACAAGAACTTCCCCTTGGCAGGATTCGTGGGCCTTGAGGACTTTCAGGGAAGCCTGGAAGGGGTGAGGGGAGGCTCTATCAGTGGGTGTTTCCTCCCAGCTGCCCTTATAAAAGGCAGAGGGAGGTCCAGGTGATCTGAAAGGAACGTGGCCCTCTCCTCCTGCACCCCAGCTTTAGGTCCTGAACTCCCTCTCCCACACATGGCAGGCCTTGCAACCATGGTGGCCAGCCTCCTGCTGCTGGCCCTGTGTGCCCACCGCATTGCCCCTGCAGGTAAGAGCTCCAGCCTCAGCCCGGGGCTGTCAGGCAGGACAGTGTGGCTGGGACAGCACAGTGGAGGGTGGAGGACTGACTGGGCTGGGTCTGGAGCGGAATGTTGAGGAACGGTGGCCCCAGGGCTGGGAGGTGTTGGGCTCGGGCTCGGCAGCCCAGAGTCTCAGGCAGCCCGGGCTCTTCTCTCTCCCGTCCTCTAGGCTCTGTGACCATCCCCTCTTCCTGCTGTATGTCCTTCATTTCCAAGAAAGTTCCAGAGAGCCGAGTGGTTAGCTACCAGCTGTCCAGTGGGAGCCTCTGCCCCAAGGCAGGAGTGATGTAAGTAACCTCCTCTCCCGGACCCCTGGCGCGAGAGGGGCAGGGGAGATGACTGTCCATTCAGGGTCACTGGGGAGTAAAGTTGGGAGGGCCTGGCTCTCTGATCCTGGGGAAGCCACCTCACCTCCCTGAGCCTCAGTTTTCTCCCCCAAGAGATTAGGAAGAGGACTCTGAGACAACAATCATTTCTTGAGCACCAGATATATATAAATATATACATATACTAGGCACTATTTGGGGGCATATCCCATTACCTTAACTAACCCCTGGAGGTTTTCTTCCTTTCTTGTCTTTCTTTCTTTCTTGTCTTTCTTTCTTTCTTTCTTTCTTTCTTTCTTTCTTTCTTTCTTTCTTCTTTCTTTCTTTCTTTTTCTTTCTTTCTTTCTCTTTCTTTCTTTCTTTCCTTCTTTCCTTCTTTCTTTCTTTCAAGTTTATTTACTTTGAGAGAGACAAAGAGAGAGTACAAGTGGGGGAGTGGCAGAGAGATGCGGACAGAGGATCATCCCTCTGTGGGGCTCAAACTCATGAACCGAGAGATCATGACCTGAGCCAAAGTTGGATGCTCAACCGACTGAGCCACCCAGGCGCCACTCCCTGGAGGTTTTCAGTGCATTTTCTCCTTTCCTCTACTCCCTGTGGGTAGACATTGTGTCCCTCTCTTCAGATCCAACATTAACTAAAGGCAGGGCTGGGCCTCCCCCCATCTGACAGGGAGCTTGAGAACAGGTGATGCAAAGAGATGCTGACACCCCGAGAGAAGACACCGTGTCAGGAACTGCTAGGGGGGCCCCGGGCAGCAGCTTGCCTTCTGTGGGCCTCCACACCCACGTCCTCATCAAGTCAAGAGGTCCAAGGTCATGGCCAGGTCTCAAGTGTGCCCTGTCACCCTTCCTGCAGCTTCACCACCCGGAAGGGCCAGAAGTTCTGTGGCGACCCTGAGCAGCGCTGGGTCCAGACGTACATGAAGAACCTGGACGCCAAGCGGAAGAAGGCGGCCACGGGGCTCAGGGCGATGGGTGTCAAAGCCCTCCTGCAGAGGTCCCCTGCCAGTAGCACTGCCATCTAACCACCGCCCGGCCCTCAGCTTGGGGCCTGTGCGCCAGTGATGAGAGGGGGAGAGCTCATGCACCCTGGGCCCCTTGCCTTCCCTGAGCTGGCGGAGAAGGTTCTGGAAGGAAGATGGTGGCAGCCGTCTGCCCTCCTCCGGAGCTTATGCTGGCCCTTCCCTGCCTTCCAGGCACCCAGAGCCCAGGTGCATCGGGCCTCACCTGCAGACAGTCACTGCTTGTGTCTCAAAGCTTAGCCTAGAGCTGGCTTCTTGGGTCCTCGGGTCTTGCAGTGGGATCTGTCTGTCTGGGTATGGGTGACCTGTCAACAGCTGTGGCTCTTCATCACTCTACAGAAGCCCTGAGCCTGCCCCACTTCCAGAATCCCGGGTGAATAAAAACCCAATAAAATCTAGGGCTCCTTTGCTGCGCGTGTTGCCAGATCCCCAGCCTTCCTCGCACACAGCTCATGGGATGTAATTAATGACGTTTTCAGGGACTCTTTGGTTTTTGTGATGAAATGGACCTAGAGGGTGAGGATGAGGGGCCAGTCTGGGTTGTTAAATTCCTTTGGGAAGAAAGGGTTTGGGGGAGGCGTTCCGCTTTATGGAATGGCTGGCCCTGTGCTTCTCTGGGAACAAAGACCTGCTCTGCCTTTAAGGCCGGTTCTTTCCCTACATTTTTGGAATGTGAGGATGGAGTCGGGGTTCTGGTAGGAGAAGGATTCCAGGGTCCCCCCCCCCACCCATGTATGAGATATCGTGTGATTTGTATGTCAAAAGTGTAGACACAATTGCTCTTCTCAAATAACAATTCAAATAAAATGTGATTTCTCCTCAGGTAATTGTGTCTTGCCTGCTCTCTTCCTGTGGGGACAGGGTTGGGGTCTGAACAATGGGAGTGTGTGCCCCAGAGATGATCTGGAGTTGCCCATTGGAGGGGATAAAGGCAGCCTGAGCCCCGGGCATCCCAGGAGTGGTCTTAGCCTGTTCCTGGGAGTCCTGTCATGAACTTTGTAAAAACATTCACGCACAGCAGGATTCTATTAGATTTTTTAAAAATTTCAACAGAACACATTATTGCACAAGGAACTGTTGCAGGCACGACAAGGCTATAAAATGACAAAGAGGGGCTCCAGCTTCAGAGAATTAGGGAGAAAAATAACTCACACACACACACACACACTCACACTCACACACACTCACAAATCAAGAGCAGTGTGGGTTTAGTACCAATCCTACTTTGTAAGCTGCATGACCTTGAAACATGTCACGGTCTCTGTGCCTCGGTTTTCCTCAGCTGTAAAATGGGAATAATAAGCCCTTTTAAACCTTGGGTTTTCGCCAGAATCAGACCCTGAAACAAAGATCCGAGTGCAATGATTATGTATGGGAGGTACAGGAAGTAACCTCGAGAGAATGGGGAGGCAACACAAGACAACACAAGGCAAGGAAGGTGGCCAGGAACGGAGGGTCACCAGGCAGAGCTCAGTCAGAGCTGGGAAGTGGGTGAGACCCACCCCTCATCACAGCCCTGCTGCGTCAGTCATTGCCAGCTGTGCGCAGGGGTGCTCTTTCTGCAGGGGGGAGTAGAGCAACCTCCCTCGGTTGCAAACAAGCCTTCGGGCGTGGAGAGTCACAGAAGGTGTGAGAAGGCGGGAGGCATTCTGGGTGCAGCTGCTGTTGAGGTTCTTGCAACTCGACCACAAAGCAGAATAAAGAGTAACGCTAACAGTACAAATGAGGGACGTTATGGGTGTGCGTTGAGGGGATCCTGCAGACATCCTCAGCACGAGGTTGGCATCTGAATGTGACTGAGGTTTCCCTCGGCAAGAAGAGTGTTGTTTCTGGGGATGGATGAAAGCTGGAGCATTCAGGGAAGGGAGACAGGAAGGCGAGGGACAGGGGCCAGACCATAGATGACAACAGAAGTCTGACTCACGGGCTGTGCAGCAACTGGCCCGGAACCATCACAACTGGGTCAGAGACTGCCAGCTTCCTAGTCCCACCCCACCCCCCAGCCCTTTTCCAACTCAGGACCAGCCAGAGGGAGCCAGCTATATATTCCCAAGTCAATCACAGAAGCTGTTCGCTTCTCCAGGCCAACCACCTCCCACCAAAGCACCCCTGTGCCTCCCCGTTTGTCCACTCTGAGCCCC